CAGAGATGGGTAAGGGGTGGGAGTTCAACTGACGAGAAAGGGGCCTCAGATAACTTTCTGTGATCATGAAAATGTTCCATAACTGTTTTGGGTGGTTACATGATAATACGTAATTGCCAAAACACCCCAAACTGACATTTAAGATAACTGACACAGAATGGAGAAAATATGTGGAAACCATACGTCTGATAAGGGGTTAATATCTAAAATAAATGGGAACTCAGACAATTCAATAGCAAGAAACAACCCGATTAAAGGGTGGGTGAAGGACTTGAACAAACATTTCTCAAAAGAAGCCGTGAAAAAGGCCAACAGATCCATGAAAAAGTGCTCACTAATCATTAGAGAAATGCAAATTAAAACAACCATGAGCTATCACCTCACACCTGTTAGAATGGCTATTATCAAAAAGATGAAAGATAACAAGTGTTGGGAGGGTACAGAGAAAAGGGAACTCTTGCACATTGTTGGCAGCAATGTAAATTAGTACAGCCACTACAGAAAATGGCATGGAAGGTCCTCAAAAAACTAAAAACAGAACTGCTATCTGATCCAGCAGTCCTGCTTCTGCATATACATCGAAAGGAACTGACATCACTATGTCCAAGAGATATCTGTACTTCCATGTTCATTGCAGCACTATTCACAATACCCAAGATATGGAATCAACCTAAGCATTCATCAACGACGGAAGAACAGGTAAAGAAAATGTGGAATATATATATATATACACAATGGAATACTACGCTGTTTTTTAAAAGAAGGAAATTCTGATATTCAAGACAGTGTGGATGAACCTGTGGACATTATGCTAAGTGAAATAAGCCAGGCACAAAAAGACAAATACTGCATGATCTCGCTTACGTGGAATCTAAAAAAGCTGAACTCATAGATGTAGAGAACAGAATGACAGGCGTGGGGTGGCAGTGTGGTAGGGAGGGAATGGGAGTTGTTGGGTAAAGGGTACGAAGTTTCAGATAGAAGAAGTAAGTTTGAGATCTATTGTACAACAGAGTGACTACAGTAAAAAATAATGTATTGAATATTTCAAAATAATAGTAAAATTTCAAATGTCTCACCATAAAAATGATAGATAAACAAGGCGATGGATATGTTAATTAGCCTGATCTAATCAGTCCACACTGTACACATATATCAAAATCACACTGTACCCTATAAAGGTATACAACTATTAATATAATTTGTCAATTAAAAGCATTAGTTTTTGAAAATTAAGACATGGAGAAAAAAGAAAGAAAATGGTAAACGTAGTATCCATTCATTCTCTAATTACAAATAGTGGGGGAAAAAACAGGACAATCTGTAGCTAATTTACCCCATGTCTGTATTAAAATGAGTATAAATTTAGATATTCTCACATATATACAAATTTAAGTGACAATAATCCACCCCATAAAGTAGTAGAAAAAGAATAGATAAAAAGAGAATTTTACAGCAAATTAAAATAGAATGGGGTCAGGTAGTGCCTCACATAAGAATATCAGAGATTTTTTCAAAGACAACTGTTGCTAAACACGAGGAGTCAGATTAAGTAACATTTTTTTTTATCTAAGATGAAAATACTCCAGGCAATCTGTCAATTGTCTCAGTGCACTCTGACCGCTGGAGTAAAGTCTGATGACGACGAAGTCTGCCACGGAGCTCAACACGCCCGAGCCTATCACGAGCCATCACACGGCTTCCTTTCAACGACGACGTTACCACCACAGAGTGATTCTGCCCATTCCTGCCAGAGACTCAACAGTGCCAGCAGAATTCTACGACACTTCTAAAGAGAGTCACTGCCAGAGCCTAGCACAAGGATAATTCTTTTTTGATATAAATGCCAGAGTTATCTTCACTGGTATCCACCACTGTGACTACCAATAGATTATTCTAAATGTCACCTCTCTCTCCATACATTTATAGATACTCAAATACAGCAGTATTATCTAAACATCAGCAAGAATTTTTTCATCCTGAGAGAGAATGAGACTCCTAAATTGGGAGTGTGGAGTGGTAAGAAAAAGGAAATTCAAGTAAAATTCTCACACTTTTTCAGCTATTGTAATTGCAAGAGGTAAGAATGATCCAGGCTGAACTTATTATATTCGAAATCATCTTCAGTAAAGAAACTGTTTCATTTTTTTCTTGCCTTTCTTTTGGAATACGTGAGTTAGCAAGAAGATTTGGTATACTGATACACCTAAGTCAACTAAAATCAGCGTTATCTTGATGACTTTATAACTCTTTATGATGTAGAAGTAACAGTTTTTCAAAGCAATCTTTGTCTGATATAGCTAGTTCTTTAAAACAAGAGGGTAAAACACATGTTAATACATACATTCCAGAGTCAGACAGCTTAGACAGCTAGGATAGAACAAATCTATTCCACATAGCTGTGGTGACAGTTAAATGGACTAATACATGTGAAGTGCTTAGGATAGTTTCTGACATACAACAAACCATGAACAAATATTAGTTATTGTTATTTTACCAAGTCCCACTTTGACCTGCTCTATGTATGTGCCTTGGGAAGCAGGGGAAAATTAATGAGGGATAAAATAGAAAAGCCCTCTTCCTTTCGCCCTTACATACCACACCCAATGCAAGTCCGTCTCTTATTGGGGGAGAAGGGCCTATACCTAGCCATTTGGATTCCTTCTATTGGCACTCCTACTGGTGCCAAGCATGAAAGAATGATCAGGATTTTCTCAGGATCCCAAAGCCAACCTGATGAGCCAATTGTTACTAATCCTTAGGAGATATGAAGGATTACTGTGCATGAAAGTATAGATTTAACCCACAGTAATGAGAGGGGAAATCCCACTCACATCAGAAAGAAAAGCAGATCATTAGAAATTGGAGACACATGACAGATTAATGGGATCAGACTGACCCAGGAAGCCAATTCTAAGACAATTAAGGAAGAGAGGACACAGCTAAGCAGTGAGCAGCAGCACCAGTAGGATAGGAAAGCAGACTGACAGCTTGGGGAATCCCCCTGCCTAGCTTATTAGGAAGAAGGGGAGCTCCATACTCCTTTCTGACTTGGTGGATAAGCGTATTCAGCCTAGCCCTAGGGGACTCTT